GATATGATTGTTATGGCATGGGAAAGCTAATTTAAAGGACTACAAATTTCATGTTTGCAAGAGTTGATTCAGCCTCTTTGATCGAGTTTTTTTGGCTTCAAATATGATCCACGTGTAGATCTATAGTGATCCATTTATGGCTCTGTTATAACCGACGCCGATTATTCATTCGGTCTTCAGGCCAGGCTTCCTGTAATCCTAATGTTCGATGCCAAACTTTGGGCTGGACTTTATTGAAAAATATGCGAAAATGTTATTTTTTAGTTCCAATAAACCCAATCCTATCCCATTTGAGATACTACTTTAAGAAACTATAAATAAGCGCTATCTAGGACTTTTTTGGAGGTTAGAAAATATTAGGCTACATTGGTTCATCCTTTTTACATCTTCTTTTCTTGATAGATCAAGGATGAAGTGTGGAAGAATAAAAAAAGAAGATCAAGACGGGGACCAAAGCATAGAAAATTGAGAAGTTTTCTTTACTTTATCTTCTTGTTTGTATCTTTTCTTTGAATTCTTGGTTTTAATTATGAATATGTTGAACTCAATTTTATAGGCTTAGAGTTTTATGAAGGAGATTTGATTATTTATCTTAATTAAATTCTTTACTTTTGTCTTGATTTATTTATTTTTGATTTAATTGCATGTTTGTGATTGGCCACTATAGACATGCCCTTAGTGCTTGTATTAAACTAAAAAGGGATATACAACCGTGCACTAGATAAATAAACATATTTAATCTAATTATGAGAGTAGGTTAGCAGTTGTATGACGTAATTATATCACCTAAGATCTTAAAGGGTTTAATTAAATACTTATGATCTCGAGAGAGACATGCGATTTAATTAAGCATAACTTAGATATATCCAGAGATAATCTAAGGTATTTGCATGTAATACATTGTTGGCATGTTGAGAAAAATAATGGGATGATTAATTTAAATTTTGTATAAAAATCTAAAACCCTAGACTCTTGCCAACCATTTTCTCAACTCTATTTAATTTGCCTTGATTATTTGTTCATTTTTTTTAGTTATAGATTGAAACCCCTATGAATTTGAATTTTATTAGTTGTCTAGAATAATTAAAGTGGAGAAAATTAACTCGTCCGTATAGATTCTATTTTGGAATACTACAGGTAATTTATTACTACAATCGATCCTATACGCTTACAGGAATTCGTTGATCAAAATGCAGTGTTGGCATCACCCTCTTTCAACCATTTGACTCTCGATTTATCCTTATAAAAGCTCTCCTCAGCTTGCATCCTCATTCATAGTCTGTCTATGATTTTGCTTTCTCAATATAAATTTTGGCCAACACAATTCCAAGAAGTTCCTAAATGTCCCCAACACGGTTGGTGAAAAGCCCCAAAAGTCCTTATAGTTACCTTCTAAACTCGATGTAATATCACTGCAGCTAAGCCTGTAGAGGTTTTATAAAAATATGATTTTGAGTTTAGCTTAAGTCTATCAATAAAACGATAAAGAATATATTAAAATCTTTGGTTATCCTCCTTATTTTGAACATTATAAATGTTGTTATTACTTATTATGAGTTTACTATAAAAATTTAAAGAAGTAAAAAATTATAAATTCATAAATTAGTGAACTAAAGATTCCCTCTTTGAAGAAAATAAATTACTGAAGTCCTATTGCAAGATTTACCAGAAAAAGAACTCTAACAAGGAGAGTATATGCCGAATTACTAAAAGCATAGACAAATAAAAAAGACACAGGGATCAGGAAAACATCTTTGTTTGGATATGAAGTTATTTGCAACAATAAAAATAAAAAAATTAATTGCATCATAAATCCGTTTTCTAATTATCTTTTTATCTTTCTAGCCACCTTTTAAATCTCATATCTATCATATCACAAAGAGTGTTACGATGTTATTCCAAAATATTATTCCAAATAATTTCCTATTCATACGCACTCAAATAGTTCAATCTTCAATAAATTACGCATAACCCTATATGCAGATTCCTAGATTACAACATAAACCCCAGTTTTAGATTCTTTCCTTCTTTCATCCTTTCAAGTTCTTGAGTTGCACCACATCTTTTAACTACTGTTGCAATTTCTCAAGTTTCTAATCATCGCTTTGTTAGTCCACCATTTCGCTTCCAATTGATCTTGTTCATTTTACCCTACAAAACAAAGAGATTTTGCGAGTAAAATGACAAAATCATAGTTAATTCATCTATCAACTTAAGGTGCAAATCAAAGACTAAAATAAGCAACTTGCACCATTTAACTTCACAAATTAACTCAAAAACAATATAAAGCACCTACAGAAATATCCACAACTTGAGCTTATATCAGAAACGAACACTTTTTATACTTCTGGCATGGTTCTTATAGAATGAGTAGCGTAGTTTCGTTAATTGGCATGCATAATGGCTGTTTTTGAACATTCGAATCTACATTATCTTCACAATAGATTGTTGTATTTCCAAAATGAGAAAGTTGCTTTCTTTCATTCGGTTTAATACATTTTTTGATTGTTGGCAACAAAGTTTTGCAATTTGGCATTGAAACACAACTTCTTGACGTTCTCTTGCTTTTATTGTGTAAAAATGATTACAAACCAATGGAATTTCCATTTAAAAATTTAATAACCAATTAAGAAAATGACTTGCTCTTTTGGTGTAATTGTTAATCATCTTCTTTTACATCAACTCATTAAGAAATACATCAAATCAAATACAAAATGCATATTCAAGCTGAAAGTTTTTTTTTTTTATTTTAACCCTCCCTCCCTTCTCCACACTCCATCCCATCCCCAACTGTCAACTTCAGGATTCAAACTATAAACCTGGTAGCTCTTAGCCATTGGACCAATCTTGCCTAGTTGCATCAAGCCAAAAGTGGGAAGGATGGTAAAATAATACGATAAAATTACAGGCTTAGCTATAGTAATTAAGGTTACGTTGGTGTATATTTTCACGCCGACCTCATCATGGACGTGTAAAAACGTGTTCCATGCTGGTGGACCATGATTTTTGTGATTCGGTCCTACATCATCACAAATTACTTTATGGGGTACAGAATCACATTTTTAGGCCCATAAATACAAGGAGTCTGGTCCTCTGCGACCAAGTTTTCGATAGTCGCAAGTTTTCGATAGTCACCAGTTACAAATATCTATTTCCATTCTTATTAGTGTTTGAGTTTGTGTCCTTGTACAAGTATGTCAAAGCTGCACTTATACGAGTAAAATGCACCATTAAATAAATAAAAACAGCAGTCTGTGTTTGAATTTGTATCTGTGTATTTTGTTCCTCTGTTACTTGCAAGCAATTTTCAATCCCTGAGTTTTGTGTGTCAACTAGGTACTATATTCATGACTAGTTATGAAGTCTAATAACTAGTTAAGTTTTACTTAAAATGAATCCAAACCTGAAAAAGAAAAAAAAGATTAACTGATAAACAAGCTCTAGTCAAGGATATAATTTCGGAAGTGATTCATACACCTGCTCATTAATGCAATAATTATTTCATTTATTTGTTAATAAACAGGTTAAAGTTGCCAAACATGTGATGATAACCAACTTTTCCTTAATATCTCGATAGTTAATGTACATTCATTAACTACTTTCCTAATCAAGAAACAACTCTAGGTACGTCCGTATAATTTAATTTATTGATTGCATTAAAAACTAGAAAAGTAATGTTTTAATCAATAAACACACTATTGGAGTTTATTTAAATTAGATCATATGTTTCTCTAACATGAAACCAATCACATTAGTCACCACTAATTTAAGACAATTAAACAATTAAGAATTTAACTATCCTAACTATCATTAGATTGTTAAGTTGAATTAAATATCAAAACACTCATGACATTCAAACAATCAAACAATCATGAGAAATTAAATAAAAAAACATACGAATACTAACGAATAAAAGAAATAGATAAAAACAATTAGATCTCATAGTTGCCGATGAATCCTTCGTTACTCCTTGACTAGAAAAAGAAAATTTAGCCACTTATCACTACGAATAATCCAAGCAATTTTATTGATAAATGTTGCATGAATATTCAACAAAAGCAAAAAACAGGAAAAGGCGGAGAGAAAAGCTCTTCGTTTGGTTTATGCTTGGTGCCTAGACTAATAGTCTCTCGGTACCCGAAACAAAGTCTTAAAATCACGAAGGCCAAGAATCCCTCCTACTCACGTCACCAACGTTTCCTGCTATTACTACTACCACTAATACATCTAATCTCCTCTAATTTTTCTCCGAGAGAAATATACCCATAATTTAACAAAAGGTAAGTTACTTGTTTCTAAATACAAAACGAAAACCAATTATTTTGGAAAAGGAAACCACTTCACAGAACTTCAATTTGAATTGGAAAATTGCCACGCGCGCCAAATCTCGATCTCTTCGAACCCGAGGCTAGAATTAGGTGCGGTCACATAGAACACACCAAGAATCTTCATTAAACCAATTTTTACTCCTTTTCTTGCCATATTCCTGAAATTAGCATCAATTGCCAAATATACTTTTTACTCCTTTTCTTGGCCTATTCCTAAAATTAGCATCAATTCTCAAATATAAGTAGAATCCATCAATTATTACAATATTTGGTCAAAATTAAAGGAAAATATTCATAAATTTAATAGCAATTACATACCCTATCACCCTTCACTCTTTACACCCCTTCCCATCCCCAACTATCAACCTCAAGATTAGAACTATGAACCTGATAGTGGGGGAGCTCTTAGCCACTGGACCAACCCTACCCAGTGGTATCAAGCCAAAAGTTTGAATGATGATAAAATAATAACATAAAATTATAGGCCTAGCTATAATAATTAGGTTACGTTGGTGTATATTTTCACACTGACCTCATCAAGGACGTGTAAAAACGTGTTCCATGCTGGTGGACCATGATTTTGGTAATTAGGTCCGGCATTACCACAAATTAATTTATGGTGTAGAGTATCACATTTTTAGGCCTATAAATTCAAGGAGTCTGGTTCTCTGCTACCAAGTTTTCGACACTCACCAGTTACAAGTATCTATTTCCATTCTTATTAGTTAGCTAGCTAGTCCTTTAAGAAGAAAATGGCCGCAGCCAAATCTGGTATTGGCAGTGGACAGGTGAATAGTGACTGTATGCCTTGCTAGACTGGATTTCTTTGTTTTTCAAGTTTGTGTGTGCATGGTTTTCGGAGTCAACTTATAAACAACACGTATAGAAACGTTTGAAAAAGTATGAGGAGTTGCAAATTAAAGTAACTTCAACATTCTTGAGTCGACTTGATTAGCAATATTTTATGTTTCTAGTTGTCTACATGCTGCGGTCTCTTGAATTGTTTGATAAATAAGCTTCTTCCGAGCAATGTCGTTTCTTATTAATTGATTGGTTCGATTTAGTTTTCTGGTTGTTCCTTTGTTTGAAAGGACTCTAACTGATTTTGGGAACTCAATTGTGTTGGGTTTTCTTACTGAAAAATGTTTGGGGTTTGCAGAAAGACGAACCTATTATTCCTATGGCGTCAACCGTCAATCCGAACGACGATGTGGTGATTCAGAAGGCAAAATTTGCAGTTGATAGTTACAATGGGCAGGCGGGGACCGGTCTGAAATTCAACAGTGTGGAATTCGGCTTCTGCTGGAGCGTTTCTGATGTCACTGACTACCTGCTTGCCATTAATACTCATGATGATAAGGGCCCATATTGCGACCCAGCATTGGTTTCTGATACACTGAAGAGCAATGCTCACACTTATGAGCTCATCTGGTACAATCATAAGAAAAAGTAATCAAGCACTACTCTTGATCAGCTGAGTGGGGATCGACGACTTTAAGTACTTTAATTATCTAGTGTTTATGGTGTGGTTTTCAGTTTATGCATGGATGATGTACTGCTGGCATGCAAACATCCTCCCACTGTTGTACTAGTATGCAATGTAAGGTGCACTTCTACCAACAAAAATGCACCGTTAAATAAAAAAATCCGTCTGTGTTTGAGTTTGTGTCCTTGTACTAATATGTCAAAGGTGCACTTGTACAAACAAAAATGCACCATTGAATAAATAAAAACAGCTGTACGAGTTTGAGTTTGTATCTGTGTATTTTGTTTCTCTGTTACCTGCAAGCAACTATCAATCCCTGAGTTTGTATCTGTGTATTTTGTTTCTCTGATAACTAGTTAAGTATTACTTAAGATGAATCCAAACCTTAAAAAGAAATGAAAGATTAGTTGATACATTGGGAGTAAGACAAGCCGATGACGTTGTGGTTCTTCTTTGAAGTATATTTTGGATGTTCTTCATAAATATGAAGACTGTTCAGGCCAGCGAGTTAACAAAAAGTTGTTTCTTGACCCATCAGCGGTTGAATGTGGCAAGACGACGAGTGATCAAAAGTGTCACTGGGAATTCATATGCAGGCCATAGCTAAATTTCCGTTTTTGGATCTCTGTACAACTGGTACACGTAAAATTTGTCAGCTAAACTCCGCCACCAATTGTTCACGATATGCAGGATGGATGTTCTGGACAAGAATATAAAGATTAAAAAGGGGACTACGATTATCAACAAGAATAAAATTGGATTTAGAAAAAACATGGTTGATTACTTGTATGATTTGTGTCTAACGATAATTACGAAGCAGAAGAAGAAAAAGAAGGGAAAAAAAGGTTGGATTGTTACACACACACATGTATGTGTGTATATATTTATATATGCAAGTAAGATCACTATTTTCTGGATGAGGGCAGTCCAAAAGGGCGGGTCAAATGGTTGCCTGAATTTCATTAGGTACCAGGTGCAGTCTGCAGATAGGTGGACCATGGAACCCATTTAATTAATGGGTTTGGTAGGGTTACGTAAACGTCTTTTTAGTCAATGAAAGCATGACGATGACACATTCATAATTTTTGATTGGGGAAAATCATTCAAAACGTTTCTCATTTTACAAAATAACTTTTTTCGTTTCTTATTTTTAAATATATAATTTTACGTCCCTTATAAATTCACATTAACCAAATTTGGTCTCTACCTAGATTTCCGACTAGTTTTTAGCCAGAATCTACCACGTGACTTGCATGTGATCATTGTTTAAGGACAAAATTGTCAAATCAAATTTTTACATAATCTGATTCATAGTCCCTCACATTTTCACAAAATGAATTTTTTCATCCCCAACATTTTACAAAATGAATTGTTTCGTTCCTCATATTTCAAAAAATGAATTTTTCCATCGCTCACATTTTTCAAAATGAATTTTTTCATCTCTCATTGATCATGTATACGAATAGCTTTTTTTTCTATAAACCCACGTATATGTTTATTTGATTTTATTTAAACAGTATGAGTAACATGTAATTTATCTCTATTGGATTTCATCTAAACAGGCTAATCATAGCTATACACATGCTATTCAATCGATATATATAGGGGTTTAAAACTAATAATTTTGTTTGAAACCCACTTATATATTTATATGATTTCATCATTTGAACCTATTCAATATTTTTGACCTTTCTCTTTTGGTAATAATTTATTTATTGAGTTGTATAATAAGGTCATATAATTAATGGGTCCTAACTCGAATTCTATAATTATGTTAACAAATTTCAGTTTAAATCTGAAATTTCTACTCGACACTTTTAAGACCAACAGTTGAATTACTTGTATTGTGATTGTCTTAAAATTTGAAAGTGCTAATCACTTATTTCTTTTTGTCATACTTTTCTTTTGTTTACTTTTTCTATCCAAATTTAATTCGATATAAACACTTGATAATATTTAGGATTAAATGCCATCTTTATTTTCAAATTTCGAGTTAAAGAAAATGAATATACGTGAAAAACTTAAAATTTTTTTAAACACATGTATATATCTATTTAATTTCACTTGAGCAGTACGAGTAGTGTGTACTATATCTCTATTTGATTTCGCATGCTATTCGTACGGTTCAAGTGAAATCAAATAGATATATACATAGATTTAAAAAAAATTATTCACACATATGATCAATAAAAGATGAAAAAATTCATTTGGAAAAATGGGAAGGATGAAACAATTCATTTTGTGAAATATAAGGGACGAAAAATTTTATTTTATGAAATGTGAGGGACTATGAATCGAATTATATAAAATTTGATTTGACAATTTTGCCCTTAAAATATGATCACGTGCAAGCTAGGCACGTGGTGAATTCCGACCAAAAACTAGTCGAAAACCTAAATAGGGACAAAATTTCACCAATGTGAATTTGTAAGGGACGTAAAATTATATTTTTAAAAGTGAGGGATGAAAAAAGTTATTTTACAAAATGTGATGGACGTTTTGAACGATTTTCCCTTTTGGTTACTCTCACTCGACCCGTTTACTTCAGTCGATGCACAGGCTGCATTTCTTAGGCATCCAGCTTAAAACCCCAAATTAAAAATTAATGACCACCTGGTAATTTCCCCTTGGGTCTCAATGTAGGTGGGCTTTGGGGATATTTTAACTTTTAATTTTGGATATTTTAACATTTAATGTCTCCAAAACCCAGCACAGTTGGAAAGAACATTAAACATGTAATTTTGAAGCCTGTAATTTGACTATCCAGCATTTCTTTCACTCCTCACTTTATTTTCAACACTGCACGAGCTAATCCAACTTTCTTGCAGTACCCTCTCACCAATTCATGCATTACTAGTGTATTATCTGCTATACTTCTTCCTATTATAAAGCACTCTGATATTCATCAATGATTCGAGGAATTAAACTTTCAACCTATTAGTTAGCAATGCTAAATCGCATTTACATAGCAAACAACAGCAGGCTGTAGGCTTGAAATCCCTCATTTGTGTTGTATTCCGCAACTTTGGGACCAGTGTAATTATAGTACTATTTAAAGGATAATGCATATACTTCTTGTCAAAACAAGATTGAGCATCTCGAATTACTTCATCACCAATTACATGCTAATTCTTCTTTAAAAAAATTGTGCACTAAAGCCATCTGGGCTTGGAGCTTTACCGTCCTTCATAGTAAACATAGCATGTTTAATCTCTTCAGCTGACACACTAGCCTGGAGAAAGTCGAATTGATCACTAGTGATGGTTTTGGCATTTATCTGTTGCAGCTTGCCCTTCAAATCAGGGTACTAAGAGTTAGATTTACTAAACAGAGTCTGATAAAATTCCCCTGCAATTTCTTTAACTTGCTCATGGTCCTCAACAACATCAACTTCATCATTTCTAAGAGAGAGTATCTTATTCCTGGCAACATGACCCTTCATCTTTCTGTAGAAAAAAAGCAGTATTTTTGATAGGGTATGAATTGCATTATCTTTATATGTACAAATTGCTAGTTAACGGTGATAGTTGAGCTACAACTTGAATAGAAATTGTTTAATTTTGATCTTATGTTATTTTAATAGGTAGAGAGCTCAATTGGAAAGAAAATGGACCAATCTTGGCAAGACAATCAAGAAAAGCAGCAATAAAAGAAGAAGAAGAATGAACAAACAAGGGTTGCTGGATTACTAAGGATCCATAGGCAAATCCATAGCGATCTGTGCATGTATTCTCAATAACCGGCTCCAGATGTCAAAATGGTCTTCACATTGAACTTCTTCTGGTTGTTATGGTTTTGAGCTTCACCCAATGACCGGCCCACGGAAATTAATAAAAGACTTTAATTTATTAAAAGAATTTCTATATTTCTTTATTTTTCTCAATATCCCAAACAAGATCTAATAATAACATTAATTATTAATGGAACAAACGAGGGGTTAGGTCTGAGGGTCAATTGGGCATGAGAGAGGGGGTTGGTTGTTCTTTGAAAAGATATTCATCATCTGATTGATGAGTCATAATAAGACAATTTGCGGTTAATATACTTACTAAGTAGGAATCTACTACTCTAGGAATAAAAATTTGAGTTATCAAGGTGAGTTTATGGGCCAATAAATAAAAGATTTTTATCTTTGTAACCAATTGCATTGGGGTGGGACAGTGCAAGAGATATCATACAAAAGAGATTGAATCCTCTAAAAATGCTATGAAGTGCTCCAAAATGGTCGAAGTAGTTGAATAGAAGGATCGCTATGACTATAGCCCTTGGTAAATTTACCAAAGGCGAAAATGATTTATTTGATATTATGGATGATTGGTTACGTAGAGACTGTTTCCTTCTTCATCTGGAATTGGTGCCTTCGCGATTTTTTTCAACTCCAAGAAGTCTAACCCTATCATATTTGGGCTAAAATTTTAAGAAACTATAAATAGGAGTTATTTAGATTATTTTTAGGGGAAGAAACACATTAGACTAGCATCAGTTCATCACATAAAACTCTTTCTTGGGAGATCAAGAATGGGTTCAAGGCACGGGATCAAAGAGAAATCGAGACGGAGATTGGAGCAAGGAAAATTGAGAAGTTTTCTTTACTTTTATCTTCATACTTGTATTTAGTCTTTGAGTTCTTGATTTTTATAATGAATATGATGAACTAATTTGTCTCTAGGGTTGGATTTTATTAAAAAGTATTGGTTATTTATTTTAGTTAAATTCTTTACGTTTGCCTTAATTTATCTATTTTGACTTAATTATATGTTATGCTTGATCACCATAGACATGCTCTTAGATTTTGTGTTGAACTAAAAAGGGACATACAACCATGCATAAGATGAATAAATATATTTAGCCTAATTATGAGAATAGATTAGATTTTGTATAACATAATTGAAATCACCTAAGATCTTAAAGGGTTTAATTAAATAATTATGGTCTTGAGAGAGATGTAAGATATAATTGGGCACAATTTAGATGTATTAATAGATAATATAAAACACCTTTGCATGATACATTCTTGGCATGTTAATAAATTAGTTGGATAATTAATTCAAATTCTGGATCAAAATCTAAAACTCTAGTCTCTTGCCAATTATTTTCTCGCATCTTTTTTATTTGACTTGATCATTTATTTTACCTCTTAATTAGAAATTAAATCCTTTAAATTTAAATTTCATTGTCTTCTCATAATAATTATAGTAGAGAAAACACTCCTAACCTAGGAAAAGTCAATTCAAAAGGAGAATGCACGACTGAAGCGAAGAAATAGCTAGA